TCTTTCTTTCTTTCTTTCTTTCTTTCTTTCTTTCTTTCTTTCTTTCTCTATTTCTTTCTCTTTATCTCTTTTTTCTTTTTTTTTGGTCTTGGTGTGTGCGTGTACATGCTTTGCCAGCATGTGTGTATGCATCTGAGGCTGGAATAAAAGACAAGATACCACGATCAGCTTGCATTTATGTGGGAATTCTGGTCCTCTTGATTGTGTGGCACATATTTAACAACTGAACCATCTCCTCAGTGCTGGTTCGCTCAGTTTTATATAGTCAATACTGTGATGCTTTCTGAGTTGAGGAATAAATGTAATTTAGGGTTAATGTTGACATATTGGGTGGTTTTGTTCTTTTAAGATTTATTTCTATTTCATATGTGTAAGTGTTGTGCCTGCAGGTATGTTTGTGCACCATACAGTGCCCAGAGAGGTTAGAGAGGGCATCAGAGTCCTGGGAACTGGGGTTACGACAGGTGTGAGCTACCATGTGGGTGCTGGGAATTGAATGTAAGTCCTCTGTAAGAACAATTATTCTTAGCCACTGAGCCATCTCTCCAGCCTCCTGTATTTTTAGGGATCTTTAGGTTTCCCTTCTTCGTGTGTATGTGGTCTTGCTATGTAGCCCTGGCTGGTCTTGAACTCACAGATCCACCTACCTCTGCCTCTACCTCTGCCTCTGTGCTGGGACTGCCACTACACCCAGCTGATGGCTTTGTCTTTTGTAGTAACATATGCTATGATAAATTCTTTTAAAGAATAGGCTTTTCATGGGCCAGAAAGTTATGTAAAGCATATAACTAAACAACTCCTTCTCATAATCCTATCAAGTCGTAATAGAAACAGGATATTTTTCCCCCAGATGCTGGCATGCTTTCAGGGACATCATCAGATTATTTCATTGTGTGTAAGGTTATTGTTTAGTTATATTTTTCAGTAAAAGTGTATGTGTTTGTGTACTCCCGCATGCTTATGCGTGCACACGTGTGCATGTGAGTCTGGGTAGAGAATCTGTTCACTACCATGTAGCTTAATCCTTAGCTTGTAAAGTTATTCTGTGTTTTTAATTCATACTTAATATAGACTTTCCTTTCGTCTGTGTTACCAGGTGATGGAACTAGAATGGCTGATTCAACAACAATGTTATCAATAAGTGATCCGATTCACATGGTGCTAATCAAAACAGACATATTTGGTGAGACCACTTTAGTCGCTTCCTATTTTCTGGAGTGGAGATCAGTTTTGGGCTCAGAGACGGGAGTGACGAGTCTGACTGTGGAACTTATGGGTGTAGGTATGACAATTAGTGCCACTCTTTGCTTGTTTTAATCACTGTTTGTAAAGACATTTATTTCATCAAAATGGCTTTACAGGGGGAAACTGTAGAACAAGGTTTCACAGGAATTTCAGTAGTAAGTTGTCTTAGGAAGTATGTTGAAGAATGATGCTGCAGCTCTTCAAAGTCAGTCTGGCTTATCCTAGGGAACTGTTTTTCCTGGAGAATGAATAGAAAATTTGGAGGTTCAACAGTTTTAATAAATACAAGGTTTTAAGAAAACAAGGATTCTTTTAAACACATGGATATGTGTATAAAAAAGCTGCTGCTGCTTTTTTTTTTTTTTTTTTTGGTTTATTGAAACAGGGTTTCTCTGTATAACAGCTCTGTCTGACTTGTTCTGTAGACCAGGCTGGCCTGGAACTCAGAGAGCTGTCTGCCTCTAGCTCCAGAGTGCTGGGCTCATAGGTGTGTGCCACCACAGCCCATAAGCCTCTTTGCATCCGCTTCTTTCTGGTGTGCCCTAGAGTACACATCGTCATCACTATAGTGGTTCTTGGAAGAATGTTATAGGTTATTTTGGTTTGATTATGGCTGGAATCTCACAGTGTGTGTCTTGGTCTGTCCTTGAGTTCCATATATAATCCATTGGCCTACCTTGTGCTAGGATTATAGGCACATGCTGCCATGTGGCTATTGACAAATGAATAGATGTTCCTCCAGCCCCTTATCATGAACAAATAAGGTTTGGAAAAGGTGCTAGCTTGTTCAATATCAGTAGCAATGAATAGGAAAGGACAGACGTTATGCATTAGCTTATTTCCTTAGAGTTTTGAATCTCATAAAATGAAAACAAAAACCTACTAATGTTTATGTGTAACATATAATGGAGTTGCATTAGTATTACATCTTATCCATAAGAGTTGAACTTGGGGCTAGCATGATGGCTGCACAAGTAGGAGGAACTGGGTTTGTGTCCCCAGCAGCCACATAAAAAGCTGGGCATGGTAGTGTAGCGTGCATTTGTAACTCTAGCTCTGATGGCAGTGGAGACACACGAATATTGGGAGCTCACTGCCCAGCCAGTCTAGCTAACTGGTGAGCTCCAGGTTCAGTGAGAGAGCTTATCTCCAAACTAAAGCTAAGAGCAGAAGAGGAGACACCCGGTGTCAGCCTCTGCTATCCATATTCATGTAAATGGGCAAGGACATCTGCACACACACACACACGCATGCACATGCACACGCAAAAGGAAAGAAAAGCCATGCAGTGGTGGCACATGGCTTTAATTCTGGTGCTTTGGAGGCAGAGGTGGGCAGATGTCTGTGAGTTTGAGACCAGCCTGAATTTGAGGCTGGCCTGGTCTATACAGTAGGTTTTAGGACAGCTAGGGGTACACAAAGAAACACTGTCTTGAAAAACCAAAACAACAGAACTGGAGAGATGGCTCAGTGGTTAAGAGCACTTCCTGCTCTTATGGAGAACCTGGGTTTAATTCTCAGCACCCACATCACAGCTCACAAATGTCTATAACTTCAGTTCCAGGTGATCTAACACGCCCTCTGGCTTTCATGGACACCAAGAATGCACATGTTACACAGACATGCATGCAAGCAAATACTTATACACAAAAAACAATAGCAACAAAAAACTAAATTTGGCCAGTACATAGCAAGGCCAAAAAAGTGGTTTCCAGTTCTTTGCCTTCAAAAATAGGCCTAGGCCTGGAGAGATGGCTCAGTGGTTGAAAGCACTGGCTGCTGTTCTAAAAGATTCACATTCACTCCATAGCACCTACATGATGGCTCCCTATGTCTGTTAGTAACTCCAGTCCCTGGACTCTGGCCTTCAAGGGCGCTTAATGCATACAGTGCACAAGGTGCACAGACCGACATTCAGGCCAGCATAACTATAAAGTAAAAGATTAAAAACCAAACAACATTGTTTGGTTTTTAATCAGGCCTACGTGATAATTGTAGCAGTGACCTGGAGACAAGCCATGTACTGGTTTGCTGAGAAGTATTCTAGTGTGATTTTTGATACACACACACACACACACACACACACACACACACACACGTGTATGATTTAAAATCATGGGTTCAAAAGTGATATGTTAAGAAAGGGTAAATGGAGTTACTGTATATTATAAAAAGTATGACTACTTTCAGATTTTCCTGGAAGCAGAATGGGTTACTAACAATTGCTTTGCTTTTACACTTAATGTTAAGTCTAGTTGGAATTTATGTACTTAGTGAAAATAAAAATTTAAGAATTCCAAATCCATGAGGTCAGAAAAGTTTTTTAAAATGTTTTTAGAAAGCTAAGAAAATAGTTCATGTTTTTATTATGTACATTAGTAAAAAAAGTAAAAACCACTTTGATTTGGTTATTTTAAATTTTTTGATTAATTTTTAATATGAATATTAAGTGTAATGTTCATATTATCATTCTACCTAGATGATAAGGTACCTCACTCTTAAATTATGGTTAGACTTTTACTAACTATAATAGTACTGCATGTTCTATGTTTTAAATAGAGTCTTAAGTATTTATTTGTATTTATAGGGACAGAATCAAAAGTTTCTGTGGGAATTTTAAATATAAAACTTGAAATGTACCCACCACTCAGCCAAACCCTGTCTCAAGAGGTCGTGAACACACAGGTAAAGCTCAGCTCCTCTTTGTGCACGTGCTTCAGTTATAGCAAATATTTACCCAAGAAAGTATTCTCTTTAGGAAAAACAATGTCATCCCCGTTTTATTTATACTAAAAAAATTAACAAAGGATGGGAAGAGAGTTAAAAACCTGGGCCTGGTGATGCAGCTTAGTGGTAGTGCTTGCTCAGCATTTACCAAGCTCCAGGGCGGGCAGTGTGATGGGGAAAAGCCACAAAGTTGGAGGGTGGATGGAGAAAGTTACCACATTTGCATGTACTTTTGCGTGGGTTGGAGGCGGGTGGTAAGGATGTGCTGTGCTGCTGTGTAACTCTCAGGAGTGGGTACAGTGGGTCCTCCACATGGATCCTGGGGATTGAGTTCAGGTCATCAGGTTTTGGGGGTAGACACCTTTTCTTGCTGAGCCATCTTCATTTCATAGACATCTACTGAATGCGTGGTTTTTGTGTAATCCCTGCTAGAATGCCTGGGGAGGCTTTCTCTCCTAACTCTACTATTGGAGCTCAGCAGCTCCTTTCTGGGTTTGTAAGATGTACAGATTTCTTCAGTCCTGTGAGTTGGAATTGCAGCTGTGGTTCTCTGCTTTCTTGTGGAATAACTCTCCTTAACTACATGCTTTAGTCTTAGAGTTGTGCTTTTATTCAACCATATCATATTTTTATTGTCTTAGACTTTCTCTCCCCTTTTTATTCCTCTCACCCACCCCCTCTGTGGTATTGGGCATCAAACCCAAGGCCTTGCCACATGCAACATAGTCCTGTGAATTATAGCCATAGCCCTTCAATTTTTATTATTTATTATCATATATGTGTATATATGTTATTTATAAAGCCATATGACATATAAACAAAGACCTATTTGATTTTTTGGTTTTGTTTTGTTTGTTCTGGTTTTCTGAGACAGGGTTTCTCTGTGTAGCTCTGGCCGTCCTGGAATTTACTCTGTAAATTAGGCCTTGACTCACTAGGTCACCTCCCTCTGCCTCTCCAGTGTTGTGATTAAAGTCTTGTGCTACCAAGGTTTTGCTCAAATAACTATTTTAATTATTTGTTGTTGTTGTTGTGGGTTTGTTGGTGTTAAGTCAAGATCTCCTTGTGTAGCCCAGCTATATGATCTTGAACTTATGATCCTCCTGCTTCAGACTTCTAAATTCTTGGATTACAAGTTTGTGTTCAGCACTGCCACATCTGGTAAATTCTGTTGCTACTTGTATTGACAAATAAAGTATTTCATTGGTGACTGAAGGGATGGCTCAGTGGTTAAGATTTCTGGATGCTTTTCCAGAGAGCCTGCGTTCAAAGTTTGTTTTGAGTTGGGAATTGAACACAGGGCTTCATGAATTGTGGACATCTTCTACCACTATGTGACAGCCCCAGACCATGTGTTCTCTGTGGTTTGTTTTTTTGAGATGTCACTGTGTAGCCTTGGCTGGCCTGAACCTCACAGAGATCCACCTGCTTCAGCCTTCCATGTGCTAGAATTAAAGGCCTGTGCCGCCACACCTGGCAAGTTCTTATGAAGCATGACATTGTGTTATTTGCTTACTTGTTTTTAAGTATGTATCTTAAAACAAGTTTATTGTGAGTGTATGTGCAGGCATTTTGTGTGGGTGCTAAAGAATCTACAAAAGGAGGTTGTGGCCCCTGAAGTTGAAGTTAAAGGTGGTTGCTGGGAATGAAACTCAAGTCCTCTGGAAGAGTAGCCAGTGCACACTGGCCATCTCTCTAGAGCTGTCATTTTATAAGTGTTTTGTCATTTTTCTATGGTAATAGTCATTTTTAGTGACTTTGTTATTTTGTTTTATCTGTATGTGTGTATATATATATTCATTTTTAGTGATAGTGTATTCTGTTTTATCTGTGTGTGTGTGTGTGTATATATATATATATATATAATGTTTGGAAAAATTTAAATATACTATATTATTGTGTGTGCACTTAATAGGGGGTCCATGCATCATAGTATTTGTGTGGAGATCAGAGCGCAGCCTTGTGGAGTTGATTTTCCTACTTTTACGTGCATTCTGGGAATCAGCTAGGTTAGGAGGCTAATGTGACAAGCCCTGAGCCACTTTGTTGGCCTTATTCTTAAACATTTAGGCAGGGATGCTTACAAGTCTTAAATGTTAATAAAAAGCAAACCTGCCATGTACTTGGCAGCGACCAGTGACTCTGACTCCAAGGATCCGATCACTTTTTTGGCACGTGCACATATACACATGCATATAAATTTAGGAAAAATTTAAAAGGACTGGGTACCATGTGCTGAGAATATGACAGCACAAGAGGCAGAACCTTTGTCTTTTGTTTTGCTTTTGAGTCAGGCTCTTTTCATTGTATAGCTCTGGCTGGCCTGAAACTTATTATACCCGGCTGCCTTTAACTCACAGAGATCCACCTGCTTCTTCCTCCTGAGTGCTGGGATTGAAAACATGTATACCACATCTGGCTAACAGCACCTTATTTTCTGGAGGCTGGAGATTGAGTAAGCAGAATGCCAGGTATAAGCCAGGCGTGTTGGCATATGACTTTATTCCCAGCACTTGGGAGGCAGAGTCAAGGGGATCTCTGAGTTTGAGGCCAGTTTGGTCTACAAAGCGAGTTCTAGGACAGCCACAGCTACACAGAGAAACCCTGTCTCAAAAAAACAAAAACAAAAAACCCACAGAAAAAGAAAAAAGAAGCCAGATAGAATGGTTACTGGAAGGCATGATTAGGGTAGGGTAGAGAAATACCTGTATTGCAAGAAACATTAGTATTAATAATTTCAAGATTGGGCCTGTGTTTTTCAGGTAGTATAAGCAACAGCCTTGAACAAAAGCTTTGTGTGGATGGAGAGAGAGAAAATGAGACAGGGCCAGAGTGGTAATAAGTTCAGGCAGGGAGTTTACAGTATGGTAGAAAGTGATTGAAGTGAGTTATTATTTAAAGGAATTACGCATTATCCATTGTGTGTGTGTGTGTGTGTGTGTGTGTGTGTGATTTATTGTATGGAGACCAATGATATTGAAGTCAGAAAGTCAGAAAATGTTGTGTTAGTTCTGGTTAAGATGGAAGCAGCAGTGGAGAACAGTAGATGGTTCTGGTAGTTGAGGAAATTTTAAAGACATTTAATTTAAACATTATTCCTTATTTCAAGCTTGCCTTGGAGCGTCAGAAAACTGCAGAGAAAGAGCGATTATTTCTTGTCTATGCTAAGCAGTGGTGGAGAGAGTATTTGCAAATTCGACCCTCACACAACTCACGGCTGGTGAAGATTTTTGCACAGGTTTGTAAATTATGTTAGAAAAGTTTCATCCCTGCATTTGGGATGTACAGCTATAAATATTTTACATTTATACAATATATTTATTCCACAAGTGAAAGTTTATTTTTAAAAGTTGTCTTTTATTGGCTAGGTCAATGGCATATTATAATTATTGTTAACTTCGAATATACCTTTACATGATACTTAAAATTGAGTGAACATTTGGATACTTTACGGCTTATATGTAAATTGCACTCTTTGTACAGAACGGGGACTTTCGACATACATTGTGTTTGTTAGTTTTACAAAACAGAAAACAAAAACAGTATTAAGTGGCCAGTGACCGGAAATGTTTAACTACACAATTTCAACTACAGATGCACCTTGACTTACAGTGCACTTTCATGCTGATGAACACATTAAGTTAAAAGTGCCTTTAATACAGCTGACCTGCCCTAGGTTGTTGCTTAGCAATACAATACACTAAGGGATATTGCTTGTTTACCTTTGTGATCAGGTGGCACACTGAAGCTGTGACTGCTCAGCATCAAAAAATACTGCATGCTGTATAGTACTAATCTAGAGATCAAAATTTCAAGTATAGTTTCTGCAGGATATATGCATATATCCAGTAGAGCTATACATATATATGTGTGTATATATGTATGTATGTATAGCTTCTGAGGAATACATCAAATAGTTTATATATTCATCTTCTATACAAAGTTAGATTATTTTGACATTAAATGTCTCTGATGTTAGTTAGGGTTTATATTGCTGTGAAGAGACACAATGATTACAGCAATTCTTATAAAGGAAAACATTTAATTGGAGCTGCCTTCCAGTTTCAGAGGTGTAGTGCATTATCATCATGGCTGGAAACATAGTGGTGTGAAGGCTGGAGAAGGGACTGAGAGTTCTACATCTGTATTGCCAGGCAGCAGGAAGAGAATGCCACACTTAAGCATCTGATTTCAAAGCCTGCCCCTAGTGACACAGACGTCCTCCAACAGCACTATACCTATTCCAGCAAGGCCATACTGAACTAATATATATGTTATATACCCTACACTCCCTAATCATTGGGACAAACTACGAATGGCTTCATTTCTAGATATGGAGCGTAGGAATAACAGTCCTAAGTTAACTACTGGTAGGAAGAAAAAAAAAATTGTTTCTAACTCTACATAGTGTTATTCCTGTTAAGGTATGGATTACATTGGATAGTGCTGTGTAGAAATATGTTACTGGTTCTAAAAGTTGAACGGTAGTGTTTCTGTTGCCTGAGTTAGGTTTTATTTCATCAGAGCATTTTACGCATGTCCAAAGTTTTAATCATAAGTGGCTCCCTCCCTTCGCTGTATAAAGACAAATGTAGGCTTTGTTGACACCCATCTAAAAGCATGATAGTAGGTAATTGTCAGAGGCGTTGTATACTCAGTTGCCATTCAGCACAGTCGTTGAGATGCATCCTGTTCTCAGGACACAGCAGCACACACCTTTACTCCCAGCACTTGAGAGATGTAGACAGGCAGATCTATGAATGTGAGACCAGCTAGCTCTATGTAGCTCCAGGCTAGCCAGAGTAACACTTAGTGAGACTGTCTCAAAAACAAACAGCAGCAAAAAGATGTGTCCTGTATTTAGAATATATGATATTTTCCTAAAATGTTTCTTAGCTTCTACTTTCAATTGATTTGATTAACAATTTTTTTTTCCAATCATCGGTCAAAAATATTTTGTCTGCAATAAAGTTCTGTGTAGTATGAAAGAGTACTTCAGCTTATATTTACATCCTTTTTCTTATCTATCTGCTGACCATTTTTTTCAGAGCAGGTCTATTTTTTTCTTTATTATTTATTACAATTTATTCACTTTGTATCTCAGCTGTAGCCCCCTCCCTCGTTTTCCAATTACACCCCTCCCCATGTCCTTCCCCTAGTCCACTGATAGGGGAGGTCCTCCTCCCCTACTATCTGACCGTAGCCTAGCAAGTCTCATCAGGACTGTCTGGTTCCTCTTTTTCTGTGGCCTAGTAAGGCCACCTTGCCAGTGGGAGGTGATCAAAGAGCAGTCAACCAAGTTCGTGCCAGTGACTGCCCCTGCTCCTCTTACTACGGAACCCACATCTGAGCAGGGGGTTATAGGTCCTTGGCCATGCATGGTCATTGGTTGATTCATCAGTCTCTGCAAAGACCCCTGGGCCCAGATTTTTTGGACTCTGTTGGTCTCCTTGTGGAGTTCCTGTCCTCTCCAGGTCTTTCTATTTTCCCCCTCTTCCATAAGATTCCCTGTACTCTTCCCAAAGTTTGACTACGAGTCTCTGCAACTGCCTCAATTACCTACTGGGTAAAGTCTTTCAGAGCTCCTCTGTGGAAGGCTCTTTTCCTGTTTTCTGTCTTCTCCTACTTCCAATGTCTATACTGTTTGCCCTTTTGAATGAGATTGAGCATCTTCCCTAGGGTGCTCCTTGTTGTTTAGCTTCTTTAGGACTATAGATTTTAGTATGTTTATCCTATATTATATGGCTAATATCCACTTATAAGTGAGTATATACTATGTGTGTCTTTCTGCTCTTTCTGCTTCTGGGTTACTTCACTCATTATGATCTTTTCTAATTCCATCTGTTTGCCTGCAAATTTCAAGATTTCCTTTTTTTTTTTAATAGCTGAATAGTATTCCATTATGTAAATATACCACACTTTCTGTATCCATTCCTCCACTGAGGAACATCTAGGTTGCTTCCAGATTCTGGCTATTGTGAATAAAGCTGCTATGAACATAGTTGAGCAAATATCCTTGCTGTACACTTGAGTGTCTTTCCGATATATGTCCAGTAGTGGTATAGCTGGATCTTGAGGAAGCACTATTCCTAATTTTCTGAGAAAGCGCCAGATTGATTTCCAAAGTGGTTGTACAAGGTTACACTCCCACCAGCAAGGAGGCATGCATTGATAAGTGGAATCCAGAAATATTCTAGAACAATAGGAGATGTGACACTTTGGACGATTAGCTTATCGGTGTTTTCCCCTTCTTCCTGCAGGATGAGAATGGGATAAACAGAGCAGTGTGTTCCTATGTGAGGCCTCTTCGAGCTGGGCGGCTTCTGGATACTCCACGGCAGGCGGCTCGGTTTGTTAGCGTCCTCGGTTATGAGCGAGCCCCTGTTATCGGGGGAGGAGGCAAGCAGGAGCAGTGGTGTACGCTGCTGGCGTTCCTCTGCAGAAACAAGGTGCCACACACGGCAGACAGCAGTGCTTACTCTCAGAACCATTTCCAACATGGCATCCTTAGAAAAGGATTTCCTTGAAAATATACATATTATCAACTTGAACCAGTCAAATCTTACCACCGTTTACATACCAGCACTTAAAACTTAGCATCTTTATTTTTGTATGGAATTTCTTATTTAATAGCATGTTATTCTCTCCTGAGATAGAGACTCATGTATACTTCTCAGAAACAAAGTATAGAGCTGAATGTGTTGGCTCATGCCTATAATTCCAGAACTTGGGAGGCTGGTTCAAAAGATCATGGTTTCAAGGCCAGTCTGGATAACCGAAAGCTCCAGGCCATCCAAGGCTACACAGTGAGACTGTATCTCAAAAGAGGAACAAAAATGTATAAACAGAATGATTATGAGAAAAATTCTTGGATTACATGGTACACATTTTCTTTACTTTTTGTTTTGTTTTTTTTTTTTTTCAAGACAGGGTTTCTCTCTGTAGCCTTGGCTTTCCTGGACTCGTTTTGTAAACCAGGCTGGCCTCAAACTCACAGAGATCTGCCTGCCTCTGCCTCCCTTAGTGTTGGGATTACAGGCATGCATGAATGCACCCAGCTGCATTTTATTTAGTTTAAAGCACAATTAATTATATTTAACAACTTACATGAATTTGATATTAAACTTTATAAGAAAATTGTATTTACTTTAATTTTATGTGTATTGGTGTTTTGCCTGCATGTTTATCATTGCATAACATGCATGTCGTGCTTACAGAGTCCAGAAGTGGCCGTTAGATTCCTTGGAGGTGGAGTTATTGAGGATTGTGGGTGCTGGGAAACCCAGGTCCTCTAGAACAGCAGCCAGTGTTCTTAACTGCTACGCTGTTTCTCTAACTCCTGAGTTAAATTTAAGATTAAAATAATTTAACTTTAATCTTCTAAACTCTAACAATGCTGCTAATATAGTGAGCAAATAAGACTTTTTAGTTGTTCCTTACAGTGAAACAGGGAAAGACAAGTTTTACATTCTGTTTTGTAGTAAGTCTGTCTGGTATTGTGTAAATAGAATGTACACTCACAAAGAATAACTTATGCAATAGAAGAAACTGAGTGAGAGGTTGATTTGTTAGTTGGAACGGTTGGGGTGTGTGTGTGTGTTGTTTTTGAGACAGGGTCTCCTATGTAGTCCTGGAACTTGCTCTGTAGACCAGGCTGGACTCAAACTTACAGAGATCTGCCTGCTTCTACCTCCCAAAGACGTGCCACTGCGTACAGCCAAACCCCCAAAACAATAAACTCAGCCAGTGAATGCTTTCTATCCACCATACTTACAAAGGTTCCCAAATTTAGGACTTAAATTTTAATATGTATCCAGAAAAAAGGAAAGAATTCCGCTGCAACTCATAAAAAACTTATACTTCACAAAAAGTCTCAAGTGAAATTTTTTTTTAATATTTATTTTTTTAGGTGTTTGTTTTTTGTTTTGTTTTGTTTTTGAGATAAGGTTTTTCTATGTAGCCATGGCTGTCCTTTAACTCTCTCTCTGTAGACCACGCTGGTCTACAGTGATCTGCCTGCCTCTGCCTCCCAAGTACTGGGATTAAAGTCATGCACCACCACCCAGTTTTTTCTTTTTCTTTCTTTCTTTCTTTTTTTTAGTTGTGATGTGGCTCAGTGTTAGCAGCACACACCTGTTAAAAAAAATTTTTTTTTTTTTAAATTTTTATTTTATGTGACTATGTATGAGGTGGTCAGATCCCCTGGAACTGGAGTTAGAGACAGTTGTGAGCTGCCATGTGGGAGCTGGGAATTGAACCTGGGGCCTCTGGCCTCTGGGCCAGTGTTCTTGTCCACTGAGCCATCTCTCCAAGTGAATTTTATATACTAATGTTTACCCAGTTCATGCAGCTTAATAGCTAAAGCAAAGCACTGACAATTCTTAGAGAGATTCTTAGATCCCATAAACATGAAAGGTTTGGTCCTAGTTTTGAAATTATCTTGAGGTAGACTTACACATGACAAACTCACTAAATTAGTGTCAAATCCCTTAAAATTCATGGTGAATTAAAAGAAGCTTGTTTTAAGTACATACCAGATAGTTCAAGATACTCTGCCTAGGTCCCTATGTGACCCAGCAATGATAAAAATTAAGCAATTAACAAAAGTATGACTAATTTATGCCTTTTAGGAGTGGTAAATTTTGTGCCAGCCACTGTGGCCATATGATTAACACAAACTAATTATTGTTGTAAAATAGGTTTTATGAAAGTTATCAAATAAAATAAAAATCCAACTTAGAACAGCCAGGCTTGGTGATTCATGCCTTTAATCCTAGCACTTGGGAGACAGAGGCGTGTGGATTGCTGTGAATTCAAAACCAGTGTGGTCTACATAGTGAGTTTCAGGACAGCCAGGGCTATGTATAGAGACCCTATCTTGAAAAACAAAAAACAAAACAAAATCCAACTTATTTGTGAAAATTCATTGTTGGCACTAAATCCAGTATCAAAAATAATTCTAATAAGCTAATACACAACAGCCAAAAACCCTAGGGTTATATCCCCACTCTGCTTAGCCTTAAACCATAGTCGTCATTTATAAGCACAATTACTTGCTGCAGGACTGCTTGCCACACTTCAAACTCAAAGGACTTGGTGGTACGTAAGAATAGGTTGCATTGGCTGGGAGGTGGTAGCACACAAAACATTGGAAGCAAAGGCAGGTGGATCTCTGTGATCTCTGTGAGTTCAAGGCCAGCCTGGTCTACAGAGCTAGTTCTTTGACTCGCAAGGCTACACAAAGACCGTGCCCCCAAAATATGTTGTATCTTTAAAATAGTTGAAAAGCACATTATTTATCCAAAGCAAAGTTTGTTTCTCAAAGTTCTGCTTATGTATTTAAACTTCTACAATTTGTAGTGCAATAGGAATAACACATTTTATACATTCTTCTTTAAATAAGCAGTTGTTTTGTAAAGCAAGTAACCCATTTTAGTGCTATTTCTCTTACTGTGGTAAAATACTCTGACACAAAACCAGTTGGGGAGAAAGGTTACATGCCACTGTAGCACAGAAGTCAAGAGCTTCAGACAGCTGCTCACATCACATCCCAGCCGAGAGCCCAGAGAAAGGAGCTGATGCATGGGTAGCGCTCAGCTGGCTTCCTCCGGTGAGGCAGTCCGGACTGCAGCCAGACCGTAGTCTCCCAGAGCTTGCTCTGCAAGACTGCTGCTCCCGCTTCCCTAGTACCATTTTCGGAAGCTATTCATGTGTCCGTGGGAGTGAGGCCCCAGCACTAGAGCCGTCCAATGCATAGCATTCAGATGCTGTGTGCCCTCCAGGATCTCATTGCGCAAGGTAGAGTGGACACCAAGTCTCTTAAAGAAAAGGGTCATTTTAAGTAGTACCTTGAGAATTATTTAAAATAGTTTTATTGTATTGTATTAATAAAGATTGTAACATTAAAGATGCAGCTAATAATTGAGTCCATAATTTATAGGTAACATAAATTATCTTGTTTTATAATTTAATATTATGCTAAGAATACTTTTTCCAGGTGACTTCCATAGGGCTTTTTTTGTTTTTATTGTTTGGTTTTTTGAAATAGGGTTTCTGTGTATATCCCTTGTCTGTCCTGGACCTTGCTCTGTAGACTTGACAGGCCTTGAACTCATAGAGATCCTCCTGCCTCTGCGTCCTGAGTGCTGGCACTAAAGGCATGCATCACCACGTCTGATTTGCACTGAATTTTTTTATGTTACAAGTGAATTTTTGCATTAAATGCTTTTAAATTTTATTTTGGGTTATGTTTTTGTGATAAAAATCTCTGGATAAAAGCATACTAGGTAGCTAGGTATGGTGGTGGCACATACCTGTGTTCCCAGCAGGCAGATTGCTGTGAGTTTGAAGCCAGCCTGGTCGACAAAGCCAGGACAGCCAAGGCTACACAGAGAAACCCTATGTCAAATAACCAAAACAACACAAAACCTCCCAAAAACATACTGGGTCTAAAGGTTTTTATTAAATAGTGTGTTGTGGGTGTAGCTCAGTGGGAGAGCAGCCTTGGGTTCAGTGTACAACACTGCAAAGAGAAAAGGTGGGGTGGGGAAGGAAGGTATAATTCTTCATTTTCACAATTACTTCACATTTTTAACCCATAATCTTATTATATTTAAATATATGTCTGTATGTACACATCTAATATATGCCTATACTGTGTGGCCAGAGATGAACTTGAACTTCTGGCCCACCTCCTGAGTAATGGAACTATAGACTGCACCATCATGGCCTGCTTCTGGTGGAGGCCTAACACAGGCTTTGTGCATGTGAGACAGTCGCTCTACCAACTCAACTATATCCCTAGCCCCCAGTTCTATAATGTTTTTAAATTGTTGAACTGATATAATAAGGGATGAGCGTGGAGACGTGGCTGTAATGCAAACATCTGCCAGAGGCAAGAGATCACGGCAAATTGGAGGTCAGCCTTTGTCACATAGTGAGAGCCTATGTGACAAAACAAAAACAGTAATACATCAAAGAGGGTCTGGAAAATAATATAGAATTTATCCTAATAATAAGCATTTTATCATTTACTGTTTTTCTAATCATTTTTTCCTATCTTAAAATTATATACAGATCTGTTGAACTCTTTGCTTGAGTCTTTTTCATTTATTTACATTTTTTTACTGAAATACTTTTCAACTTACTTATTCATACCCTTTATCTTTTACATCTTCCCTGTAATTTAAAGTCTTTTCACATTAGAATATTTTCTCCTTGTTTCAGATTAACACTGGCCTAATGAATAAACTTGAAGTTTTTTGTTGTAATTTTTTATTTAGGTATTTAATGGAACTAATTTTCCTTGCCTTTACCTTCTAGGGTGATTGTGAAGATCACGCTAACCTGCTGTGTAGCCTTCTTCTTGGATATGGACTGGAGGCTTTTGTCTGTGTTGGGACCAAGGCAAAGGGGGCCCCTCACGCATGGGTTATGACCTGTGGGACTGATGGGACCATCATGTTCTGGGAGAGTTTAACAGGCCACAGGTTAGTCAACTAAGTTTACAAGGATAGTAATCGCAGATCTAGTGCCAGTGAGATGGTACAGCAGGTAGACACAAGCAGAGAGAGCTGAGTCCAAACAGTTGTCCCCTGACTTCCATCTGCATGCCACAGCATGTGTGTGCTCACACATACATATCATACATGTACACAATAATAGTCAAGTTGTAAAACATTAGATGAAACACAGGTACAATTGTAGTGCTGGGGATCAAACCCAAGGCCTTGCATTTATTTGTTTTTTTGTTTTGTGTGTGTGTAAGTCAGAGGACAGCTCACAGAACTGTTTTTTTGTTTGTTTGTATGGTACTCAAAAATACATGTTTCTAATTTTAGTTATTAGAGGCTTTTTTTTTTTTTTACTAATTGTAGCTAAGTAAATGACCTTTAAGAGACTACTATATGCTTTTAAAATACTCTTTACTCTCATGATATTTGTTTTAAAAAATTGTATTAACTTTTAGTTTTGTGTAATTGGCATACTTATTTTCTGATGATTATTCCTAAGACTGAAAATGAAAGTTGAAAATCATGGTTTAGTTTGAAAAATGAAGTGGCACTAACTCTGCTATTTCTTCATGGACATTCTTTCTTGGTTTTTTCTCATCTTATGGTTAAGCATTCAGTGTTGTAAAGATAGGGATGGGCTGCCTCCTTGTTTTCCTAAATTCTGTTTCTCTCTGGCTGAGAGTCACTTTGGATAATCATGCCTAATAATATTCAATTAAATTAGTTTAATTAGGATGCTCTCTGGATGAACTTTCTTGATCTTCACCATAGACATAGAATATTTTCTTTCTTCCTTTTTTTCCCCCCCTAAGACAAGGTTTCTCTGTGTAGCCTTGGCTATCCTGGAACTTGCTTTGTAGACCAGCCTGGCCTTGAACTTACAGAAATTCGCCTGGCTCTGCCTCCCAGGTGCTGGGATTAATGGTGTACCACTGTCACCCAGTTTAGAATATTTTCTATTGTTAAAAAAATAGAAAGTGTAACTGGATGTTTCTACCTTGCAGGTTCTTTTCTTTCTCACCCTTTATCCCCCTCCTTCCCATTTTACCCTCTCTCACTAGATAGGAGAGAAAGGAGGGGAGAGGGGAGAGAGATAGAAATCTCTGAATCTAATTTCTTTCTTGTTTCTTCTTTGAGTACAACTATTAGCAAAGTACAATCTGCACCCCTGGATGACCACCAACCAGTCTATGAAGGCTGTGGCATTTATGTACCCTCTGAAAAAATGCCCAGTTTCAAATGCCACATAATTGCAGAAACTCTCTGCATCTGGCAAAAACTATGTCTCTGCTCTAGAGCACAAGCAAATCATAGCCAGCTGCTGCAAGGTTGTCCCCATATCTTCACACCTGGGATTGAAACCAAAACATAGTCTTATAATATTTCTCTGTTTTTTTTAAAGAAATCAAAATTCCAGAAGTTTTACTACAAAGAGCCCAGTTTTTAAAAGATGTACTGTGCAGATAAGGCAGAGTAATTCAGCTGAGAAGCTGTTCAGTAGAGAGTGCGCTGTGCAGGCGTGAGTTGAGATCTCCAGAACTCATGTAAAAGTCGAGGGTGGACGTGTGCCTGTGAGCCCCAGAGCTCTGAGGTGGGGAGACAGGACCAGCTGGTCTACCCAGAACTATGAGCTCTGGGTTCAGGGAAAGACCCCATCTTAAGACATGGATAGTAACAGAGACAACAGTGCAATGTCAACCTCTGGCCTCCACATGCACAGGTATGAGCAAGTGAGTGAACCCAGAGTAATCATATTGTAAAAATACAGAAGTAAACCCAGACTAAACATGAGTCCTGGCGAGTAATTACAGCTTTATTATTATTCTAAGATAACTGCCTTTATAGTTTAAAAATCCTTATTGTGTGAAACTATGATTTCTTTTAGGTACATCCACAAGCCTACTAATTCTGAAGGACCTCCACTTGCTGAACAGCCCAAACCATTGTACCCCTACCGAACGATTGGTTGTGTTTTCAATCATCAGATGTTCCTGGGAAATTGTCAGCCCTCCGATGCAGTGGAAACCTGCATGTTTGATTTGAATGATGAATCCAAGTGGAAACCCATGAGTGAAGAAGCAATCAAGTCTGTGTGCGCTCCAGGCGCTACTGCATCTCTCCCTCCCTTCCCACCTCTGTGTGCATCCACAATTGATGCCTCAGTCACAAGCAATGAAATCGAAATGCAGCTGAGGCTTCTGGTATCAGAACACAGGAAGGTAACGACACGAATCGTTGTAGCTTCAGACTGTCTTTTGTTGTGTAATTTTTTAAATTTTTCTTTTAGAATTATTTCTGTATGATTATTTTGCTTGTAGGTATGTGTGTGTACCATTTGCATGCCTGGTACCCTTGAAGGTCAGAAGAGAATTCTGGATCCCCTGGGACTGGAGTTACAAGCTGCCACATGGTGCTGGGCCTTGAACCTGGGTCCTCTGCAAGAGCAACAAGTGCTCGTGACCAATGAGCCAACTATTCCACCCAGCTTTTTTCCTTAAGTGTGTTCAATACCAGTAGTCACCTGTTATTCAAAGGAGAGTGAACACAGTCCCTACTTATGAAGATCATAGCGGTGGAAGGCATGAGACATAGCTGTGAGTCTTAAACATTGCCAGATCTGGGCTAGAAAGATAGGTTAGTAGCTGAGAACACTTTGTTCTTCCAGAGGACCCAGGTTCAGAGTCTGGCGCCCAGGTCCAGTGCTTCATAGCCTGTAACTCCAGTTCAGTTCCAGTGTACGAAAATTATGACTTCCACCTGCAGTCTAAGAATGACGGGCTTGTTCACATTCTACAGTCAGATTTTGGTTGACTGCCGCTGTTTGGATTTCCTCCTTCTGAAATGGTTTATTTAGATAACTGATCCATTTAAAACAGCTTTGTTAATTTCCTTTTGCAACTCTTTACCCCCCAGGCTTGTTTCTGGTATTTTTTTTTTTTTAAGATTTATATATTTTATGTGAGTGTTTTTGCCTGCATGTATGTATGTATGCCAGGCATGTGCTTCATGCCTACAGAGGTCAAAGAGGGCATCAGATTCCCTGGAACTGGAGTTAGCAGGTGGTTGTAAGCTGCCTTGTGAACACCAGGAATTGAAAGTGGGTCTTCTGCAAGCACAAGTACTCTTAGCCACTAAGTGATCTCTCCAGCCCCCTTCCTGTTTATTTTATTCCACATGGATGCGTGTAAAATTATATCCTCATTCCATTCCTTTAATTAATAGGATCAGATGTCCTGTTTATTGGCCATGTAGATTTTCTTCATAAGGGCATGAAAAACAAAGTGCACTAATTAAGAGATTAACCTGTTTTATATTTTATTTATCTATTTTTGATTTTTGAAACAGGGTCTGACTTTGTACCTGCCTCTTCCTCTCATTGCACCACTATGCCTGATGGGATTAACATATTTTAAGAATTTGGTCTTTAATCTGGTCTCTGTGTAATCCCAGCACCCAGGGAGCAGAGGTTGGTTGATTTCTGAGTTCATGAGTTTGAGGCCAGCCTGGTCTACAAAGCGACAATTCAGGAAAGCCAAAAGGCTACACAGAGAAACCCTGTCTTGAAAAACCAAAAAACCAAAAAAACAAAAAAAAAAAAAAAAAAAAGAAAGAAAAAAGAACTTACTTTAAGCTGGGAATAGAAGTCCCCAACACCACACATACACACACACTCCCTAAACTTGTCATTTATCAAAAGAAACTGTTAGGAGACTAAAGCCTTAGAGTAAGTTATTTGTAACTCACAGCTAACAAGAGACTGAAATGCAATATTTCTATGAAAGATTTATTTCTAATTTACTTCTGTTGTTCCCTTTTAGAATCCCTTCTTGGGTATACTTTCCTTATCCATGAAGTCATCAAAGACAGATTGATTTGTTATATTCTCTGGGCCCCAATTACTGATAGCTTTGGTTCCTAGCATTCTTCTTGCTCATCAGCTCATAAAGCATTTATATGTTTTTAGCATGGTGCTGGTGAGGAAAGTACTTAATTATACTGCTTGAAACAAATGCCCCTACTTGTTTTCTCCTTCTCTCATGTTGCCTGGTAATGTTCTTACTTTTTGCTCTATTACAAGTGAGGACACTATTTTATTATCCTATAAGCTTGTTCTTAACACAGTCCTGTTTTGTACTTTAAAAAACCATCTTTTAAGTTTCTTTTATCTTTTTCTCCCTATTCCACCCCAATCCCTTCCAATACCCCGACACCAGGTAGGAGAGAGAGATAAAGGGTTAGTGGGAGAGGGGGCACAGTTCTTTCTTGGCTGCTTCCTGCTGGTTAGGGTCATTGAGTTCCTTGGAGCTAATCCAGTCCTCGTTTTAGTAGATCTGTGACTTCTTGTCTCACAACAGCAACCAGGAGCAGCAAATGGGAAGCAGGAGCAGCATTGTTCTTTCTCTTTGTGCCACTCTCTGGGCTCTGGCATTTATTCTCTCTCCAGAGTCCTTGGATTCAAACTATCTACAGCTGGCAAAGAGCTCCTCTCCGAGACACATGAGGCAAATAGTCTGCTGCTGTGGACCATCTGAGTCAGTCCCACATCCCACACCTGGGACCAAAACAAAAACAGGGTTATATCCACAACACAGTCCTGCAGTTTCACCATGGCTTTCTTATATTATATATGAAAATTTACATAGCTAGTAAGCACCTGTTAGTAAAAAGGGAAATAAAAAGTCAGAATGAGGCTATCATTTTCCATTTACTCATGTAGCTGAAATCTGTGTCAGTGCTGATCATTAGCTGGGTCAGTACTCTCTGTAACCCTGCAAGGGAGATGTGTGTGACAGGGAAAGTATTAAATATAGACCTCTAAGGCTGACACAACAGCTAAAACCCTGAATGTGATGGCATGAAACTGTAGTGATAGGTAATAACATTATAAAAATATTTTTAAGAATATTAAGAAGTTTTTGATATTGGTGCCTAAAGGTGTTTACTCAGTTTGTATATAGATAAGTAGTTCACTTGTTACAGTCAAGTTGTAATTGTTTTGAACATTCATAGAAATGTGTGTTAACGTTCCTGTCAGCACTTGTCTTTACCTTTTGCTTTTTAGATTTATTATTTTATGTGTATGAACATTTGCCTGCATTTGTGTTTGTGTACTATTTGCATGCCTAATGTCCACAAAGTTCAGAAAAGGGCTTCTGATCCTTGGAATTGGAGTTACAGATTGTTGTGAGCCACCCTGTGGTGCTAGGAATTGAACCAGGTCCAGTGCTCTTAACTGCTGAGCCAACTTTCCAGACCTGTGTTTATCTTTCAGTCTCTTACGGTGTAAAAGACAGTGCTGTTTAGAAAGTAGCTATTTTGAGCTTCATTTATTCAATTGATTTATTGACTTTACCCTCTACTGAAGGTGAGGTTATGCAAATTATCTTGCTAAAGTTCTTGAGTGGGAAGGGCACAAGTCAGGGTATCATCATAAGCCTAGGCTGGTCTCAAACTTTCTATGTCACTGAGATTGAACTTCTGATCCTCCTGCCTCCATCTCCTGTGTGCTGAGATTACAGAATGTACCTTCACACCTAATTTTGTGTAGTGCTGGGGATTGAACTCGGGGCTCCATCCTTACCAAACAATCTAAATAAAATAGAATCTCAAAATTTATTGACATTATAGCTTCCATATTAGGACAATTCTGTGTATTCTATCTAATAGGTATTTATTTTGTACTTCTGAGCCTTATACATGCGAGATAAATCATTGGATTGAATGTTTTAGTTATTTCTGAGAAATAGAGCATAATAAAGTGTTATTTTTATTTCTGTTTATCCCTACAATAATTAATAGGAAATTGAATAATTAGGACAGCTTAAAGAAAAAATTCTTCAGCTGAGCATGGTGCCACACATTTAATCTTAGCACTTGGCAGATTTCTAGAGGCCAGCCTGGTCTACATAGTAAGTTTCAGAACAGCTAGGGCCATGTAGAAGAGACTCTGTCTTAAAAAAAAAAAAAAAACAAAAAACCGGGGGAGGGTTGGGGAGATGGCTCAGTGGTTAATAGCACTGTCTGCTCTTCCAAGGGACCCAGGTTCAACTCCCAGCACCTACATGGCAGCTAACAACTATCTGTAAGCAGTTCCAGGTGGTCTGATACCTTTACACCAATGCACATAAAATAAAATTAAATAAATTATTCAAAAAAAGAAGGAAGAGGAGAAGGAAGGAGAGAGGGAGAGGGAAAAGAGAGAGAAGAGAGGGAGGAGGAGAAGGAAGGAAGAAGAGAAAGAGAGAAAACCTTGTTAGGTCTGGAGACAGAACCAGGCAAATCTCTGAGTTCCGGACCACCAGGGTTACATGGTGAGAAGCTATCTAAAAATGAACACAGATCTTCTCTTGCAAGGTGTTGTGACATATGTCTGCAGTCTTAGCATTGAGCAGGCAGAGGCAGGAGAATCTGTGCAGAATGGAGTTCATCCTTGATGGCTAACAAGGGCTACATAGTTATTCTCTCTCACACACATCTTGAGTTAGGTGTGGTAGCACATGCCTGTAATTCCAGCATTTGGAAGAGAGGAAATTGAAGGACATACTCAGCATCACACCTAGTTGAGACCAGCCTGGCCTATATGAGACCCTCTCTCAAAGCAATAAAAAAATAAATAAACCATATCTTCGCATACATTGAAATGAGCAGCTAATTAGGTATCATGGTGCATGCCTATAATCCAAGAACTCAAAGGCTAAGACAGTAGGATTGCAAATTCTGTGCCCATATAGGCTGTGTTCAGAGACAAAAAGCACATTGTTATTGAATTGGTTAATAAAATATTAATATAGTTCTCTTAATTGCTGTAGGACCTTGGCCTCACTACTGTTTGGGAAGACCAGCTTTCCTATCTTTTATCACCAGCTTTGGCTTCCTATGAATTTGAGCGAACAACAAGCATATCTGCAGGCAATGAAGAATTCCAAGATGCCATAAGGAGGGCGGTGCCTGATGGTCACACATTTAAAGGGTTCCCAATACATTTTGTGTATAGAAATGCAAGGCGTGCATTTGCCACTTGTCTTCGGTAAGGATTTTATGAACTCGAAATTGAAAACATTTATATATTAAGAATCTAGAAAATCGGCTCATCCTGGTAGCATATGCTTGTGATCCCAGTACTTGGGGAGGCAGAGGCAGGTGGATCTCTGTGAATTCAAAGCCAGCCTGGTCTACAAAGCGAGTCCAGGACAGCCAAGGCTACACAAAGAAAGCCTGTCTCTCAAAAAAAAAAAAAAAAAAAAAAAAAAAAACTGGGGGGAAAAAAACCTGGAAAAAAAAAAAAAGAGAGTCTAAAAAATCACTTAGTCTGATAGTTGCTAGGAGTGACAAAACATAAAATGAGAGCTTCTACAGTGACTTTCTCCTTAAATGTTTTTATTTTTATATAGGTCTCCTTTTTGTGAAGAAATAATCTGTTGTCGTGGAGACCAGGTGCGACTGGCAGTTCGTGTTCGAGTGTTTACCTACCCTGAATCTGCATGTGCTGTTTGGATCATGTTTGCTTGTAAATATCGCTCAGTATTATAGGACTGACATTTTCTAAGAATTATTCCTGAGTAGCTGTGTGAAGGTTTCTTAATTTAAAATCAGCCTCTGGCTTTGGATGTCATTGTTTTGTATACATCTGACTGGCAATGTTTTAAAATATCATGTATGTACTTAAAAATTAAGAGTAAAAAAACTGTATTGAATTTAGTATATAATAAGTGTATAATGATAAATGTTTTGAGGGACTCAGTAGTTTAAATGTGAATATAAGATCTGTTACTTCATATTAATAAGTAACTAATGAGATTTATCTAATGCTTTCAGCCATAATTAAATCAAAATGGTCATTATTTTTCATAAATGAAAGATTATTTTACACAAATTATGAGAAATTAACCCAATAGTTTATTTATTACATAGATGAAAATATATTTTGCTGAATTATCATTTTTGTGGTTTATTCATGACACTAGGGATATTTGAGGTTTTCCAATGGTGACTTTAATACAAGAATAGAAAAAAGGCCGTGTGTGGTGCCATGCATTTTCAATCCCACAAGAGGCCAGCCTGGTCACATAGCAAGTCCAGGCCAGTCAGGGCTGTACTACGAGAACCTGTCTCCAAAACACAAACAACACAAAGAATTTGGTATCAGAAAAGTGTGAATATTAATAACAAATCTCACATGAATATTTGGGTATGTGAATCATTTATGGATGTCATTAAAATTAATTGAGCACCAGAAAATATTTATTACACTTCCTTGTTACAGTATAGGTCATTCTTTATTTTTTGTTGTGATTAAAACCTCAGCCTACTGCAGGGCTGTGGTGGTGCACGCTTTTAATCGCAGCACTTGGGAGGCAGAGGCGGGTGAATCTCTGTGAGTTCGAGGCCAGCTTGGTCTACAGAGTGAGATCCAGGACAGCCAGGAATGCACAAAGAAACCCTGTCTCAAAAATCCAAAAGACCACATCAGCCTACATGTGACTAATCTCATTGAAAAAAAATCATAAGAGGCCATTGAGAAAAATATGTGAGTTTATATTTATTTTTAAATTGAGCAAGTTTTAGAAGTTTTAAGAGAGCAAAGGTATTAAAATCTAAGGTAACTTGACTTTCTGTAAGAAGCTAATGCTAAGTATTTAAGTTTGACTGTCCATTCTGCATTTTTGTGCAGAGAGTTTTGTTTTTGTGACACTGGGAATTAATTCCAGAGCTTCCTTCATACTAGGCAAACACTATCACTGAGTATACCCACAGGTCTCACTAAATAGCCCTGGCTGGCCTGGAACTCAGAGATTTGCTTGCCTCTGCAGTTTCTTAGTTTAGTTGCTTTATCCATTGGTTTTATTAAGAGATAAGTGTGTGCTAGTTCACTATCCAAATTATTTATTATTTTCATCACCTACTGTTGCAAATAAAATTATTTTATTTATTTATTTATTTATTTTTGGGTGTCTGACTTTTTTATATAGTTGTGTGTGTGTGTGTGTGTGTGTGTGTGTGTGTGTGTGTGTGTGTGTTTGCATGCAAGTGCATGGGTGAGTGAGTCATAGACTTTGTAGAAAACAAGCTAACTTTTAGGAGTAGATTCTGTCTTTCACACTTTGTGGGTTTTGGAGATTGTACTTAGGTCATCAGTTTTGCCAACAAGTAAGTGCCTTTACCGCCTGAGCCTTCTCACTGGCCTAAAAATTATTTTTTGAAGTTAAAAAATATAATTAGGCTAGCCTGGACTACAGAGGGAGTTCCAGGACAGCCAGAGCTACACAGAGAAACCCTACCTCCACAAAACAAAATGGAACAACAAAAATACCTAAAGATACTTAAAACCTAAAAAAAAAAAAAAATTACAGTGAATATTTATGACTCAATTTTTTTAGAAGTCTAAAAATATTATTCCTTCTTCATCTTCATCTCTTGTAAGGCTCACATGAGAATCTGTTACCAGAATTACACATAAAGCCATCAACAGAAAATTGCTTTTCACCGTTTGAGACAAACTATGAGGCACGTACAAAGAAGCTGAATGTATTAAGATCAAAGCTGTTTTGTCATTAGCTTGGGCCTCCTGTCTTACTGTATAGTAGTAACACATGTATTTCAGCGGGCTTTTGTTATAAATTCTGAAATAAATTTGTTACACACTTAATAGAGTCTGGCATTAATACTCTTTAAAGATGTTTTACTTTCTATCATTAATTCATTGGTTAGTAGACTTCTTGTGCTAATACTTTTTTGTGTCTTAGTTCCTTTTCCTGTTGCTGTGATAAAGGACCATGATGAAAGCAACTTAAGGGAGAAAGGGTTTATTTCGGTTCCCAGCTGTAGGTTGTAGTCGGTCATGGTGGTAGAGTTTGAAACAGCTGATCATATTCCACCCACAGTCAAGTAGCAGAGGGATCCAAGCCCTTGGCATGGTGCCACCTTTCAATCAAGATTCTCCCTGAATGACATGCCCAGAGGCTGACTCATTCTCGGTGTCCTTCACAGATGTGCCCAGAGGCTAGGATACTACCAGTGTCCTAGGTGGTGACCCAAATCCTGTCAGTGTCAACCATTAGTACAGTATGTTGTTGATTCTTTTATGGTTTTTTTTTTTTTTTTTTTTTTTGATACAGGGTTTCTCTGTGTGGCCCTGGCTGTCCCGGAACTTACTCTGTAGACCAGGCTGGCCTCCAACTCACAGAGATCTGCCTGTCTCTCTACCTTCCAAATGCTGGAATGTGTGTGCCACCACTGCCTGTCTCCTTTGGATCTTTTAAGACAGGGTCTTTCTATGTAGCTGTTGCTGGCCTCACACTTGAGGCAATCCTCCTGCCTCAGTCTTTTAAATGCTAGAATTACAGGTGTTCATCCTCATACCTAGCAATATATTATCTTTAAGAATTAAACTTGGAACCAACGTGGTGGTACAGACCTTTAATCCCAGCACTCAGGGCAGAGGCAGGTGGTTCTGAGTTCAAGGCTAACCTGGTTCACGAAGAGAGTTCCAGAACAGGTTTTGAAAAACAAACAAGCCAAATACATAAACTAGAAAGCACCCTGTTCTGAAGTTTGTTTTTTTTTTTTTATGATTCCTTTTTAATTTTTATGTGCATTGGTGTTTTGCTTGCATGCATGTCTATGTGAGAGTGTCACATTCCCCTGGAACTAGAGTTACAGTCATGAGCTGTCATGTGGGGCTGAAGTTTGTTGTTTTTTTTTTAGCACAGACTTCATATTTTAAAAAATTATTTTTATGTATGTGTGTGCCTGCCTGCCTACAGTGTTCACCATGTTCATTCAGTGCCAGTTGAGGGTGTCTTTGGAAGTGCAAAAGACTTTAATGTTAATGGAAAGCGGTATATGTTTTTTCTTTTGTGGTTCATGGTTACAACTGAAGAACCTGCTGCTAAATTCACAGCTGCACAGATTTATGTTGTCTTCTCAGCTTTATGCTTTCAGGTCTCAAATTTAGGTCTTACATTTTCAACGAATTGTATATGATGTGGGTTGAGGTTACCAGTGCAGTGGCACTATTTGTTTTAGGAAGTTTTTTTTTTTCTCTTTTATCTTCCATGGAAAAACTATTGAACTGTAGATGTACGTGGTTTTTTTTGTTTTGTTTTTTTTTTTTTCTTCAGTCTCAATTCACTTCCTATTATGCCAGCACCTCTCTCTCTCTCTCTCTCTAACTCATTTATGTAGCCCGGATGGCCTGGAACCCATCAAGTAGACCAGACTGGAACTTGCTGTAGTCCCAAATGCTAGGATGGTGTACCATGATGCCTAGTTTGTGACACTTATTTTTATGAGGCAAGATCTCATGTAAGCCAGGTTGGCATTAAATTCACTCTGGCAGCAGCTGGGGGTGGCTGAGGTTTTGATCCTCCTGACTCTGACTTCTGGGGTTACAGATGTGTGCCATCACAGCCGATTACATGGAGTCAATGGAGATCAAACCTAGATCCTCATGCATGCCAGACAAGCACCCAACCAACTCAGCTACA